AAAAAGAAGAGCGAGACGAAAACACTCGGACATATATATATATGTGCACGAGCGAAAACGAGAGAAAAACAAATGCGTCATAGAGACGCGTGATGAATGTACGCAGACACTCTACATAATATAGGCATCCTGTTTGGTTGCTGTAATGGAACATTCGCATCCAAAGCCCTAACTTCAGTTAGCAGCGGCAGTCCAAATGGGTTGGCGACTGACGACTTCAAAGGTGACACTAAAATTGACATTGCTATTACAAATTCTGGAAGCAGCACAATTCAAACATTCTTAAATCCGTGCTAAAGCATTTCATTACAAATTAGAGTGGTATATATAATTATTCTTTTCATACTTTAATCAAATACAAGAAAACAAAATTAAAATATTGATTGCTGATATTTCATTGTCAGTATATGAAAACGTATAGTTTTGGCAGATTAACATGCGCTGAATGCTATTGACACTAGTATATAGATTGCAATGAACAAAATCGATGCGGCAACGAGTGAAAAAGCGACACATAATTGAATTAGCCATGATTTATCATCCGGAACTACCATAATAACGGAAGGCAATTGTTCTCTTTGATAATAGCAAGGGCAAAACGTTCCAATCTCGACAGAAAACATACGTATAGCTTTTTTTACAAAAATGACAACAAAAGGTCATACTTTGGTGCTATCTGCATGCGTGATATTTGTATCGACGAACTCGCCAATTCAATAGAATACAAGTCGTCTCTATATCACTATTTCGTGTGTCGCGAGCAGACACATAACGAGAAGTAACAATTGAAGCTCAGATCATGTTACAGCCCCGTCGAGATGATAGAAGAGATTGATTTAGTCGTTTAAAACGAACTGCTTTATTTCAAATTTATCCGAACATTTATATACCGAAGGTGAAAGGAAAAAAGCTAGAAGATATTAGGTTTTTCCTCTTTCATGGACATGTATTCAATATAGGTGAGAACGAAAAGAATAGAAGGAATATACCATATGTGCACATATGTGTATAGAAGGAAAGAACGATGGAAAAGTACCATAAGCGAATAGATGTTTCGTTTATTCGCTTGCAGACCATACATCCCAAAATAAACAAGCAACAAATGCGAATGTGTGAGCTCCTTTCATCCGACTTATCTCGTCTGACTATAATATGTAGAATTGCGCTTAAACGAATGTGTCGACATACTTCAATACACTTCACATTCTTTTGAATATAACATCACGAGCGATGTTTTTGTATTACTAATTATGCGTATGACGAACGACTGCAAGATAATGAATGGGCATGATTTTAAGCAGTCGTCGGGCAATAATTATCGTTATAACTTAGTCATTTATCGAAACAAATAATCAGCAGGTCTTTTTCCAACGACAGTAATTACTTCCTCTGTCAAAAGCGTGCAATACTCTTTTTTATCATGCCTTACTGCCTACTATGATTCAATTCGCACAGGTGATATATAGTTGACGTTTTTCTTCGACATAAGGTACTTGAAAAGCACATCTACTTCACCCATTGTCGTTCTTCATTTATAATTGTCGCAATGAATAAGCCTACTGGAATGAGCACTGGAACTGCCTTTCATTATTACAATGTTAACAATCAATTACGGGAGGTTGCCAATCCACGCAATAGTCCTCGACTTAATCCTGCATTCGGACAGTTTCATCAGTTTCAACCAATACAAGGATTAGCGTTTGGATCGAATGTTTCACGCAATGCTGGCCATCGATTAGGTGTACCTCCAATGGCAAACCATCGTCGACGTAGCTTCAATTGACAGTTTTGACAGAATCTATTTTGTTTGGCATAAAAAGCAGTTGAGAAATCTTTTCAAATTTCATGCTTCATATAGTGTCGAATAAAAAAATACTTAGCTAGTCGTCCTATTATCCTGTTTATTTTGAATATATGATGGTTTGATCGATATCAATACAATGTCATGGTTGCTAAGCATTTTTCGGTGCTACATCATCCATCTGTACGTTGCTACTCATTTGATCAGGAGTAATTCTAGCTAAGCGTTGTCTCCTTTGCTGTATATCGATGAATAAATTCCTGCAGACAGTGATAACAGTGTCGTAACCTTCGATCAGTGGATAAATACCAACAATACCGAATGAAAGTAGCATCCAAACGATTCCGAGAATGACCCAACCTGTAAAGAATGCCTCGCTGAACACATAGGCAGATCCGTACATAGGCCACGGCCAAATAAGAACAAAGCATGAGGTCAGGAAGATAGCGAGAATACGTGCAATTCGTAATTTTCGTGTTAAGTGGATTACGCCGCGTTCTGCTTCTTCTGGAGTTATTTGAGGGTTATGATTTGGACCATCGTCAATTAGTTTAATTTCCTTCATCGAAGTGAAATCGTAAGGTGTCGGGTCAGGTGCAATAAAAGAAAAAATAGGTACGAACAAAACAGGGGAGAACAGAGCCACTACATTCCCTACAAGCATTGTTATGTCGGCACCACTGGTTTCAATGGAAATTGTACCGTATATAAACTTAGTCGCAGTAAACCATGCAGTCATCGCGCAGGCAAAACCGATTATTGGCGAAATACAAACAGCTACTTTGCTCTGTTTCTTCCACATAAGAGTTAGGGCACCGGGAATAACGGCACTTGAAATGATAATACCCATCATCGAGTATAAGTATCCCATATTAATGTCGATGTAATACAGACCAATTGAAGCGGCACTCATCACAAGACCGAAGATAACTACTGATACGTGTGAAACATAGATTAGTTTCTTTCCACTTGCTGCTTTGTTCATATAAGTTCGATAGATATCATATGTAACAATTGAACTCACGGATATGAGCTGAGCAGACATTGCACTTGTACATGCCATGAAGATTAGAGCCATACTGGCAATGGCGCCGCCTTTACCGAGTAGGGTGACTGCAGCTGCTGGTAATACTAAACCAGCGGATACATCATGTGACCTCAAACGATTCGGATACGTAGGAAAGGCCGGATGATTTTGAAGTGCAACTGCAGCCAATCCCATTGTCGTCGCAACCAGAAACGGAACAGCAAACCATGCCAGTCCACCCAAAATATATCCAGGTAGACAGGCCATCGGCGAAGCGGCAATAGCTTTATTGTAATAACCATTAGCAAGGAAAACTGTTCCAAAATTTCCAATAATATTGATAACGAAAAAGATCGCTCCATCTCGTGAATGCATGGTGAGGTAAGAACCTTGAGCGTTTCCTTCTACTGGATAAGTATAACTGGCGTTGACCAGGAGCTCATAGACTTTTGAAGGTGAGCCGAGTATAGGCGATTTGAAATAAGTAATAAAGGCAAAGTATAGTATGATGATGAGAACTGCAAGTGTATGCACATAATCAGTTAGAAAAGTGGCTTTGAGTCCACCGACTACTGTGTAAATAATCGTTCCCAATGGTAAAAGGAAACAAGCAGCTACAATGTGCATACCGCAGAGAGAATGAATAACTGCTGAACCACCGGTTAACAACATTGATGTAACGAGAAAATTCGTGCATAGACAAAATATGATGAATATCACATGACCTGCTTGACCATAACGGGCACGAACCACTTCCAAAAATGTATGCGCGAAAGGTGCTCGACGCTTGAGTTCAATGGCTACCACGCAAAATAGAACAATCTGTACTGTTGCTCCACTTGCATACCAAAACGGGCCAGAAATACCGTATAGATAGGCTACCGAACTGGAATGTAACAGCGTAGCAGCCCACGTCCAGGATGAAACGACAGCTGAAGCAATCAGACCTGTTTTGACCTTTCGATCGGCAGTCGAGAACGTTTCACTAGAGAACGATTCTTCACCATGATAACGATGTAAGCCTAAAGTTGTTCCGATCATACCAAGAGTAAAAACTACTCCGAAACCGAGCACAATTCCATATCCGTCAATTTCTTCCAAAGCGAAAATTGTCGTCGACATTTTTATTTAGTTCAGAAAATAGACCGACTAGTCAAAAAACGTCTCACTCTTCTTGATTGATGTATATATACGGACAACTTTCAGAGAGAAAAAGTCCTTTCTATAAAGCTTCTGGAAATAAGAGGAAACGGCTTTTCTTTCCTCTTCGTTTTATCTCAAATAGCGTGTTTACTTTCAAGTTTTTACTTAAACTTCCTTTTAAGCATACATAAACGCAGCTGAGAGATCTTCGAAGTAGTCAATAAAATGATATGGCTACCTTGAAATATTCAAATATCTCCAATATCCAGCGTACACAAAGAACGGATTGTGAGGCGCGATGCAATATTTGGGTCAATGTTTTCATTAACAACCCATATATAATCAGAAAAAAGTGAAGTCTCGGTGAAAAATATTTATCTTATCGACCTAATTACGAATGAATAGATGTTTTACTTCAGTGTTTTCTTTAAGTGCTGTATTTTCACCGATGCAAAATAATTAATGAAAAAGATATTTCACGTACCGGCACATGAAAGAGCAAAAGTAATCTTGGATGTTTTTTGAAACTCTTCAATCGAATGTTAATTGCGGCAAGTTCAATTTATTCTCACATGATGTACACCCACCCATCTGAAGGATTTTTTCTAGCTTTTACTTATTCTAACTTCAGCTACCTTCTTCTCTTAACTTTACTTCCTCACATGATTTATTACGTCTACTGTATTCGGTATCACGTTATATAAATACGATGGGATAGTTCGTAAAAGGCAGCATAGCTCTCAAATATTGTTCGTTCGACAGAGATGATTGCGTTATCGTATGAGTAGATTTGAATTTCTTCTCTTATGTACCTCTTCTTATTGTTATTATTATTATCTCTGCATCCACTGCCTTTGACAATTTTCACGACACAAATATCTTTTGATGAGTTCATTGATGAAATCGTATTGCCAACTTGTCTCCGGTAATATCGAATGAAAACGGTAGTATTAACTTCACATTGTGTTCGACGTGTTGGTTTGCATCGTTTCTAGTAGTTATCACACTTTAAAAAAGAGAACTTCAGAAAAAGGTTACTGAATAGATGCCAAAATCTATGTTGAAGAATGACCAAAAGTAATCGACTTTTTTGAAGACATATATTATTAACGCTGCTTTTTTCATAAATTAAAGAAATATTCCCTTTTCTATTCGGTTGAGTCTATTCTTACAGAAATATTATCGCGAAGGTGCAAGTCAATATTCATAATTCGAAACGATGGCGTTCTATGAGAAAAGATTTCGAACAAGATATTTTTAGTTCGTCAAATTGCAATTGCAAATTGGATGACTTCTTCACGTTACCCTTGTTCTTTTATTGATGACGCACTCGGGTAAAGTTGATGAAATCATAAGTTTCGATCGAGTGATTTTGCTCGTTGTCAATATAAATAGTCATTTGATATATTCATGCATTTCTTTCCAATTCTTCATCTATGCAGAAACATCGCCTTGTTTTTATTCAGAACTAACTAGTGAAAAATCTATGAAATCAAGTGTTCTATGTGCTTTTCCTTCCATGCATCATTGCCTCTGATTACTCAACTTTCGAAGTAAACATCTGTCTATATTATAGTTGCCTTTTCTCTCATACAATAGCATTCATTCGTTTTCATCGATCGTTCTTGCGTCGTTTAACATACAACATGAGCAACCCTACTGGAATGCACACCAGAACTGCTCGGCATCTACAGCAAGTTCATAACCGCATGCGCAATCATATTAATGACAACCATCTGCAATCTGCGCACGGTCATCTTCACCAAAGTAAACCATCACATGCAGTTGCCAACGCAGGCCACCATGAGCATATACACTACGAATATATAGAACTAAATCCATTCGCGGACAGCCCAACGTACAAATTTATCAGATCCTTTTTATATCATTTACTTTATCCTCAATAACAATTGTACACTGACTTTTTGTTTGCTTTACTTTCTGTAGCGCTTGAATGATAGATAGAAAAAGGTATTTTTCATTATTTGAGTTGCTTGACGAACTAACTATATTTTTATTTGATAATAAATATGGGTGGATCAAAAGTACAATGTATAAGATTCGATGTACGATCATACACGTGCTTTTTCGTTTTGGGTATTATTCAAAGCATTATTAATCAAAATGCAAAATTCTTTATGTTAACGATTGAAAGTAAGATATTCGTTCACAAATATCTTTGAAGGTCGGTCGTTCCAACACCTCCAATCGCATACAGTCCACTTTCAGTGCATTCAGCGTTCTCTTCAACGCTTCATTTGTTTCATTTCTATTCAGCCGATCCAAAAGATCTTCCATAAGGCAACTGAATGCTCTCACCTCCACACGTTCTATAGCTGCTGCATCATTTGAATCCTCTTTTTCGTAAGCGGTCGCTGCACCGTAATCACTTAACAACACGTTCGTGGCATCGACCAGTATGTTGTGAGCATAGAGATCGCCATGCATGATACCACGACCATGCAAATGAGACATCGCCGATGCTATTCCAGACACAATCTGTACGACTTGACTGAGAGTAAAAGTGGTCTCTGGTGGGTATGTGTCTCTCGTACATGTTTCAAAGCTCGGTGGATTTCCTAGCACTTTGAAACTAGCTGGAACCAGCTCAAACACCAGTCCTGATCGTTCTTGTTTCGAGTCATCAGTTGTTCTACCCAGTAACTTTACGAGATTTTCGTGAGTGCCTGCAGCCATACAAGAATTCATTTCGTCCTCGGGCAAACCATCGCTTGTCATTTGCCCTCTGAATATCTTTACAGCTACTACCTGCTGTATGCTGTCATGCTTCCATAGTGCTTTCGAAATGACGCCAGATGCACCTTCGCCTAGCTGTTCTGTGACGGTCAACTGATTACATGGAATTTCTGCCAAGTCACTGGATGGTTCCAGTTTTTTGCAACAGCTATTAGAGCTGAACGCTAACCATGCCAGTTTTGGTAATCGATATAACCATGAAGGTATGCTGACAAATTGGTTGGCAGATAGACGGAGAAGTTCTAAATTCGTGCATCGAGCCATAGACGCCGGTAGTTGACTGAGTAAATTGCCCGCTAGCATGAGCTTTTGAAGTCGGGTACATTGACCGATGGTAGACGGAATGGTCGTGATTCGATTGTTAGTTAGTATGAGCCAGCGTAGAGTAGGACTGAAGAAGTGTTCAGGAATAGTAGAAATGCAATTGGATTTGAAAGAAACCATTTCAATATGAGGACATTGTGATAAAATGGCAGGAAGTTCTGTGAACTGATTATTGGCGAAGAAAGCAATTTTGAGTTTTCGTAAACGTTTGAAGTCATCTGGTAAATGTGAGAGGTGATTGTTTGATAAATCGAGAATCTCTAATGTGTCAGCTAGATCAAATATTTCAATGGGAAATGTTGTTAATTCACAGGATAGTCGAAGTCGTTGAACACCGACTAGTTGACCTGTCTTTAATTGTTCTAGCGTGTGCATGAAAAAATACTGTTAACTTTGCCGGTGAACAAGATACAATAAATTTATTACGCTCGTTTTTTTTTCTACTTGAAAGAAAAGAAATAAAAATGAACTGGTAAACATATAGTAGGCTTCAATACCGAGATGGTTTTTTCTTTTCTTTTCTTTTCTGTTTGAAAAATATGAGAACGTGTGGACGCGTGTGTGCTTCTCAGGAGAACAGTCACAACTTCCTATTCCTCTCGTATATTGATTCAGTTGTGTTGCTTCAGTAAGTAAGGTATGTAAAGTTTTCTATCTGAAAAAAAAATCATTCAATGTCACTCATCACTTGCTGAGACTTTTGGAATAAGCTAAAATCAGGGTTATAGAAGATGTTGCTGCTTAGATGATGATATCGCGTAAGTTAGAAAATTAACACTTTGATTCATTGAATTGCATGGTATGATGCGATTAAATTTTATTTTACTCGTTCTTTCTACTATTTTAAAACGAGACCAATCATGTGGAAAGAGCCGTGTATCGTATCGTACATATATATGTGCACAAACACGTATTATATAAAATCATTCGGTCATACATGAACAACACGTCAGTATTAGTTTGATATCGAGATATGCTGGTGAAAGCATTACGAAGATCTTCTATCTATCTATATGTATATCGATGAACGACGCTCGCTTCAAGATTAAAGTGTGTTAAACATAAAAGCTTCTTTGTTTCAATGAAAAAATATAGGTATGCATGTTACTTTCGAAACCATTTCTCGATCTTTTATACTCAAATTAAATTGTTCTCTGATCCACTGTTCGTAAACGCCATTACAGACGATTATCATTGCTTTCGCATGTTCTGGTATTTCATAAGCTTTTAGTGCACAATCTCTTCCTGCCCATACACAAGTCGCTAAATTTCGCCTATCGACACTCGGAGTACCGGACCACATAAAAGTCTGCAGCTTCAAAGTTACTTGAAAAATTGGGAAAAGCGTCCGGCCAGTTTCGAACATTTCTCACTGGGTCGTAAGTTTTGCAGCACAATAGCCACTTCTTGAGCTGACTCATTCAATCTTGTCAGATATCTCGCAGGTGATTTGAATACGGTGGAGAAACAATCGTTGACGATGAGGAGACGTAACGGATCGTAATGCATCTTTTTCGTTTTATTTCGAGTATAAACAGTCAAAATGTAGACTGTACACAAAATAGAGTGTCAGATCATTTAAAAGCAAGCAAGAAAAAAGTACATGGTGGGGAAAATACATGCCTGAACGACAATCAAACGAATGAATGAATGCTTCTTTTTCTCGTACTTTATCGAATACAAGGTGTCGAAGTATATTGAATTCTGCATTGTATGATTCATTCAGTCTACTTTCATTCGTCTCTCCAGCCGTTGCTAGTAACGAAAAAGGAAAAAAGCAAGAATTATACGATTTTGTTTATTCAGTTAAAATATTTTCGTCAAGCGTTAAATCAAACTCGATGTTTTTAGATATTCGCACGAGTCCGTATGTCTGCTACACCAAAGACTCATCTTCTTCATCCCAGTACGCTCCATCTTTGATATTGGCGAACATAATACAGCTGTGAAATCGAAAAAACAGCGACATCGGTACGAAAAGAGCGGCTAGAATGTCCCAGCTTCCACTATACACACTAATTTGAATTTCATTCGTATCATAGGCTTTCGCACTAAAGGTATCGAATAGCCATATAGCGAAACCTAACATAATCCACATCTGATTGATGCCTTTGTGAAGCAAACCATTGTATCTACGAACTTTCCAGATGATCATCAGCTGAAGTATCGTCTGAATAATTGGTATAACGGAAGCCGTGAATGTCAACCAGCGTATGAATTCCGTTAATTGATCGTCGGCATCGGATATGACTGAACCAACTAAAGTAACGAGACAGTATATGTGCAAGAAAAGGCTCGATATGAGTAGAATGGCAAAGTCAACGATGAATTCCATATTTATTGATCCAACGTGCGATACATGGTTGACTTCATGTTGTTTTTTACATAACTTGTCCAATGAATAAACTGAATAGAAGGAAATTATGACTAAGAGGATAATTTCACAGATCTCGCTGATCAATGTTAATAGACTGTTTTTCTCCGAATGAACAGAAGAACTTCGGCGACGCTGATCATCAGTATTGACTTCTTGAAACAACACGATGATTATTGAAAGGCTAACTAGGAGAGTTCCGATGGCAGGAAGTAAAATCGCCGGAAATAAGATATCGTTTTTGCCCAACGGACGTTTGATCCTCCTGAAGCAAGTGCCAAAACATGAAAGCGCCTTTCTCAAACACCCGCTGACCGATATTATTTTTCTATTTGCCATACAAACCTTGCAAGCGATCTTCTTATTGAACCAAAAGTAAAACTTTAAGATAATATTGTTTTTACTGGTTCCCAAACATTCAGACATGATTAACAGTTCAATAAAGCAAGCAAATCGATATTCTAAACCCAACGGATAAAGATATGGTGTGATTTGATCAAAACGCTGCAGGCTTTGAGTCGTGGACAAATCACACGAATCAGGGATATTTTTGTGGTAGTGCACTTCCTGAAGAAGTATTTGTGCCCATTGAATCAAGCAAAATGTGGATAGACAAGTTAAGAATATTTTCGATTCGTGTTTTTTGAATTTGATGGAATGGTTTAATTGATGAAGAATAAACATTAAGATGCATAATTGGCATAAGCTTTTCAAGAAATTTGCAATCATTGACAGAGCAAGATTAGGCGAACATTCTAAACCAGGAAAGTAGTTGTGATTGAGAATCATAATTAGTTGATCACCAAATCTGGTCATTATGAACAACGTATCACCGACGCCAAGAATGAAAATGAATGCCAGTACAATGTTGGAATGGTTCTTCGTATGAGCCGAAGTGATTTGATGGACAGAGATACTATTTGCGGTGGAAAGTATGATTCTCACAATGCCGTAGATGGATACGATGTAGCTAACCATCATTAGGATATCAGCGACTCGACCCTTTCCATTAAATGCTGTTATGCTGTCGTCAAACAATGCAAATCCAACCAGAATGACGGATGATAGTGGAATGAGAATCAAGAAAATTATCCAAAAACACCACATTAATGGTTGCGGATGTACCTCATCAGTAGGATGAGATTTACTGACGTCATGCTGATCAGTTGTAGGAATTATAACGGCACCAAATTCACCCATTTCTTTTTTTTTTTGTTCTAAAGAAAATCAGTGACGTACATCTCTCACCATTAAATATTTGAAGTTCAGGAGAAAACGCAAATCTCTACTTTTCAGATGCGTTGCTTCTGCTCGCTAGATATCCTCTTGGCTTCTAACAGACATGATTGTATGTACAATGTCGCTTTCAGCTCTAGTGGATATGTTCTTCACGCGCTTGCTACTGGAGCTTTCAACTGTATAATCAGGTGAATAAGTTTTCGATCGTCCAAGTCCTAGCAATTATTAAAAAAAGAAAGATGTTGTAAAAAGATTTTTACGGAGTAAAAAATCAAATCGTATGCAATAAAAAGAATGTTCTTTCTTCATTTTATCAATGTTTTATAAATCTTTTTTAAGTTTATGAGCAGGCAACAGCTCTTGATGAGATCTTTTTTTATCACACACTTTAATAAGATGTTGTTATTCTAGTTACATTTCTTCGTACTTTCGTGACGCAAACAAACACGTGCATTTGCTATTGGTAATAAATTTGCAATACCATGCTCATAAACTTGAAAACTACTTCTAAAGTAATAATACCTCAATGAAGAGAGATGGTGCATGTAGGTGCACGAGTAGGCTGCTTTTGATAATACATAGTTACATATAGTTGCTATTAATAAACCAAACGGTGACATCTGTAAGATGATCAAAGTCAAAGGTGTTAGCATGATATGGAATCTGTTCTCTAGTTTAATTAAACTATTTAGACATTGATACTGATCTATTAATCTATGGAATTACATTTACAGTGAAAAAAGGACTTTTTATAGCAACATTATGTTTAATTTATAAAAGTATCATCGTTCCATGTACCTTGTTGAACAGTACCATTAGCAAAAGTGAATTTCCCTACTCCATGTCTACTGTCATCTTTCCAATAACCTAGATAATGATCACCTTTAGGCCAGAACATCTCACCGTATCCATCGGCAGTATTATTTACCGAATGACCAATATATTTCTTTCCATCCGAATAATGATAGGTACCATTTCCATTCATCATATTATTTTNTAATAATAAGTACCATTACCATTCATTGCATCCCGTTTCCAATATCCTATAAAACGATCGCCATTTGTCCAGGACATTTCACCGAATCCATTTTTGATACCGTTCTTATAACGACCTATATGTGTTCTACCATCTGTATAATGATAAGTACCATTGCCGTGCATCGTATCGTTTTTCCAACTCCCTTCATATCGATCACCTCCAGGCCAGGACATTTCACCATATCCATCTGCCGTGTCATTTGCTGAATGGCCAACATACTTTCGCCCATCAGGATAATAGTAAGTGCCATTGCCGTGCATCACGTCATTCACCCAATGGCCTTCGTACCAAGTATTGTCGATCCAGCGCATTTCACCAAAACCATTGGATGAAGCATTTATGAAATTACCAACAAATTTGCTACCATCGGCATAGTTGTATATACCATAACCGTTGATCATTCCATTACTTATATACCCTTCGTAACGATCGCCATTATTGTAAGTAATATCTGATAAGAGAAAACACCGCATTGACAATCCGATGATAACAAATCAATCTTACTAATATAAGATGATACTCTGGAAAACTTCGTAATAAATGGCCAACGATATTTGACTTCGATGCCACCTTGAAAATAGCCGGTTGTTAAATCAATTTGTGGAATACTTGGACCTCTAACTATGCGAGAGGATACAAACAAATTACAAAAATATTTTTGTAGAAAACATCTGCACATACCGATTCCAGGATGAAACAATGTCATCAAGTTAACCGAAGATGTTTGTCGACACTAGAATTATAGGACACAAAATTTTTGAACAGTCTGCTTTTCAATTCTGTTATAACTTACCATTCGTTTCTCCAATCTAGCATATTGCAGCGCGATAAGCTCCGCTAATGAGAAAATTTGACCATGTTTGTTAAAAAGTGGAGGTAGCAGATAAACTGTAAACAGTCATATTGTTAAAGAGTATACTTTGTCAAATATCTCGATATTTACCGGCTTCTTCCGATGCATAGATAATTGTTTGTACACTCAAAGAATGTACGAATAATGGCAATGTCATTTGAAAGGTCGTAAATGGACCAAGGATAGCTGTAAAACGTATTATTTTGTACTGCAAGAAAAGGAGTTAATGGAATGGTCGACATACGGAACGTTCGAATTGTGTATCGAGCAGCTGGAAAACGAAATCGTTGTGCAGTTCGGTGTCGCCCATTTTGTGTTGGTTGATACATGAAAATATTTATATGCCCAATGATATCGGGTAAATACGAGCGCAGATTCTTCGACTGAGCATTTCCATAACTATTCGCCAGAAACGATTGACTCGACCAATCATTTTCACATTCACTTGTGTCATTATTATCAATTTTGAGCTTTTCCTTGCGAGTTAATCTCGCTAATGGGTGTACTTTAGTTGAGAAAAAACATCAAGATGGTTTTATTTTATTTTGTAAAGAATGACATTTTACCTTGTTTGTTGACAGTGTCCCTATATATTTTCTCGTACATTCTGGAAGCAACTAACAGACCAACAAATACAATCACTATAATTCCCAGAGTAATAGCAGAACAAAACCATATAAACTTTATTGAACGATTAACAAAATAGGATTGTGATTGTCTACGTCGTGATCTCTCAGCTGACTCACTTAAACTTTGAATTATATTTGTTTCTTCATCATAATTGGCATGTTCCAGATGCCTGTCTGTCGATATTGTACTTCCTCTACTCATCGTGGTTAAAGTTAAATGACCTTTCAGATAAAAACAATACGTCTTGTAATAGATTAGAAAGTAAAAAGAGAATTACTCCTCATTTCATAAGGGGTTTTTTACTTGTACTCGTGTTCTTAATCTGATAACAAATGTATACTAACCAGTATGTGGACGAGAGAGTGTGTATACGAAAGAAAGAAGAATAAAATAAATACAAAAATCATATGGAAGGAATGAATCTTATACTCCTCGGATTGATTCTTGTTGGTAGTAAATTATTCTAACCAAGTATCTTAGAATGAAAGATAAGGACTCAGTATGTGCGAAGTATGAAAGAACAGAAGTGAAGGTGGAGATGAAAGTCACTGTGCCATACAGTGACAGATATATCTAAATCAATCTGAAACAGAAGTACACGACAAAATTTATCGAACTAAATTTTCTTCATCAATTTGTATTGTACCAAAACGATTTAAGCACATGATTTGGTGACGATTTTTATTAGTTTTCCAGAGAAGTTAGAAAAATTCAGAACGGATCGTATATTTGAATGGTGGAAACATGGTAATAGGCCCAGTCGTTTCCTAAAGGATCTGATGGTGTTTTTTCATGATCTGGATGAATTCGGGCCTCAGAACTATTACCTTGAGTTATATTAGAAATACAATGATGTAATAATATGATCAAAGCAATAAATGAAAGTAGAGATTAATATTTGACTTTTCTACAAATCAAATCCATAAAAACTAGCACTGCTTCAATTTCCGATACTCCGTCACATTACATTATGTTAATCTATACAATAATTCTTCAAATTTCCTTGATTTCTTCTCAACATATAGAATTGTAATACTATTTGGTAATTTCTGACATTAGAGGACAGTTGCGAAAATTTGAACGTTGCTAAAATATTTTTAGAATATACTATTTACGAGAAAAAGTTCTCTTCATACAAAACAGGCCCAAAAACAGCAATCTTGGGATTAGAAAACTTTTTCCTGCGATTGTATTCACTTTTCTTTTCCCACAATTCGACGGAAGTCGCCTCTTCTCATGAATTGTTTTCCCACTCAAACAAAACCTCAGTTTGTCTCAGGAAATAGTAAACTGATTTTATACCGGTTAGGACATTTAGACTAATACATGAATGATAGATCTTCTGTATTATATAATATATTCTAAGGTGTTTATATCGCAATGATACTTGAATCGAAGCATACGGAAGAAACAGTGGCTCTTGACATTTTTCAAAAACTAAAAAAACATCATCTTACGTTAATGGCGACGACAATCATACAACAAAAACGCTTCTCAATAGTCCTCACTTTTTCTATAAGCGAAATTTTACAATTTCATAAGATTGAGCGAAAGTGCCATCATATGATTTAACGACCAATCCGAAAATACGACATTATCTACCGTTCCAGGATTTTACATCGTTAGAACAATCATTGGATTAGTAGGTAGTCTGGTGACTGAATTGAAACTGATCGTGCCACGATTAGTTAATTGTTGTTCGACGAAATAAAGGTGTAACAGAAATGGATATGAATATGAAGATCTCTCTTCGTTTTCCCTTACCATTTTTTCTTTGTAGAAATTAACGATCAAAACAAAGCTCAAAGTTGCTTATGAAAAATGAAAGTTTTCTTTCAAAACCTCAATTTCTTCCAGTCATCAACCGCAGATGACTTCGAAATTTACAACGAAATCATTTCAATCAGATTATTATTATTCCTTATTGTATTGATCTTACTATTAACTGTTCTTCTCCTCCACACATCACTAATCAACATTACTCAACTTGTAATTGTGGAAAAAAACTACCAACGAAATACGATGATAGTCTGGAATATCCTTGCACAGAGATCTCCATCAGTCAGTACGTTTTTAAATCATCATTGAATTGTTCATATTTCGATGTGTGATACGGAGTATCCGATGTATTGTAATGATTTTCGGTGCAGTGGTCCATACTACATACCATTATTATTCATTCCAGGTTTGAAGACAGGTTGTATCATCATTGAATCCCTACTTCAATCCAATCTGCAATGCTTTTACAATCAAACATGTACGACGGTGTCAGATCGCTCTACACACCTTCATTGGTGATGGACATGACACGACACCTCTTGATCTATCATTGCAAAACGTCACCGATCAATTAATGATTGATCAGTGGCAATCGTCGATTATGTATGAGAATTATTACAAAGGATGTCAATTACCACGATGCGCATATACTTACACGATGAAGAACATAGCGCGATTTACATCATTACAACAACTATCGACTTGATTGGTGGATTAGTTATCGCATTGAAATTAGTAGCGCCATGATTGATGAAATCTTGTGTTGTGTACGTCCGGAAACAGGAAAATCAAGTCACTCCAACAGATCCTCGAGCATAATTTATAACTATGTGAAAAGAAAACACTTTTGTTTTTTCTTTCGTTATCGATACTATCTTCTTGTGACGTCATCTTTCTCTTCTCTAATGCGTACGATCGATATCGAATCGATGGGAAAGAAGCGAAGAAAGACGATTATTTGATGTTAATGCATATGTGTGACCGCTGCTCGTCGAAAATGGAAAAGAAATTCATTCATTTTTTGCCGTTCGTCCATTTCATTCTAATAAAACAAAGAGAAAAATAGTTTGCTTCGTTCTATAATGGATCATCAAGAATTTCGTGGTATCTTATTGAGACTTCAAGATCGTCTTAGTGATCATGACCGAAAACGTTTACATTTCTTCTTCGGCAACGATGTTCCACGACGTATTCGCGATGATCCAACTCTTGGTGGAACGCTCAGCTTATTAGAATCACTGTTTGATCAAGATAAAATCAACGAACAAGATTTTACTTTATTGATCAATGCTTTAGAGCAAATCTGTTGTTTTGACGCGGCGAAAGTACTAAAAGGTAAGACAATCTCACTGGCTTGAACTATATGCCTATTTTTAAACATCAAATAGATCATATGAAACGAACAAAGTGTCATAACGATCAGAAGCCAACGTTCGAAAAATTATCTTCACTGATGCCAAGTGGAACAATGAACGAACTATTAGATGATCTAGAGGATGATCGTTGTGCAATAAAATACGGTAGGAACGAATTTTACATTCGAATGCGATCGATTTGAACTCGGTTGTAGATGAACTTCCTTTAGAAAATATAAACATCAGCATGACCGTTAACAAAAAAACGAATGTCGGACCGCCGACAATCATTACCACGCAGATAAACAATCAACAGATATTATGTCAGCGATCGAAATACTTGAATTTTTTATCCAACATTTCATTGTGTCAGATATGTTTGATAGTCTCTGTAATAATTTTAGCCATCAATTCAATAGTCTTCATAAGTTTATTTGTAAACCGAAAGAATGTTGTTGATACGCTTCAATATGATGTTCATCGAATGAATAATTTAACGATCGAAAGAGGCAATGAAACGAACGAAACAATCCAATTTTTAAGTGAACAAGTTGAAATGCTGGAAAAGGAAAGAAGTATGTAACGAAAGATTGTGAGTATCTATGATGTTATTTTAACAAATCTCTAGATAATCTACCTGTTCGAATTGGTACTCGATTTTGTGGCGAAGGCGGTAGTTATTTCGATGATTCATTAATCAAAAATTTTACATGCGCTCATCGGTTGCGTGGGATGAGTAGCCAACGTCATTTTCATGGTTCGAATTGGTTTCAGTTTCATTATTCATCAATCGACCGTCCAGATCCTATTCTTCCAAGTAATGTGCATGGCTCGAAGAAGTTCGACGCGGAAAACGATATATCAGAACAATTCTATCTGGACGATGATGATGTTGTGCTGAAAGTTCAAGTCGTCTGTAAGAAAACGGAATATTATGAAACAGACAAGACGTATTCCGTTTCGGCTATTCGTGGAATTCGATTGTTTACGGGAAAAGGACGAATCAGTGCACCAATTGAAAGCACTGATGGTGATTTATACACGGAACAATTTGATGGTTACTATGCAGCTTATGTCACTGGTAGAGCAGGTCTCTACCTTGATCAGATACAATTTTATTGGACTCGAGCATCAGTAAATTCGCCGTAGAATCTATTTGTTAATAAATGTAAATGTAATAGATCTTGAAAGCTAGCTATTTAATGAAGTAAAAATAAAAAAAGAGGTATTACGAAGTTTTAACGGATCCATAAGCAAATTTGGTCTGGATGGGTTAGGTCTCGTGTCTGTGTACATGTTAGCGGTAAGTGGCATTTTAACTAATCGAAAGTATCATCGGTTACTTTATCTTCGCATTGTATGCTCATTGCGCAAAGATTAAACATGGAATTGACAAGATCTACGATATTAGTTCGATTTCGTACACAGTTCGTAGGTGAAAACTTGAAAAAATTTGAGAAGTTCGAAGATTATTTTGGAATCGAAATCCAAGCCGAGGAATCGATTTGTTTTTTTTTTATTTGAAGAAACGGCCAATGATAAAATGACTCCGACCATGAATAGAATTATGCGATAGATACCTCTGATCGTCGTTCTGATTTATTGATTTGAAATGAAAGACATTGCTCAGAATGAGAGTGAAAAGCGTGTAGAAAAATCGAATCATAACCTTTCGATAAGTTTCAATGACATCGAACGAACCATCGACAATCAATCAGCCAAAATGAAATTCGGTAGGGATCGAGCAAACGATCAACTTCTTGTTTCTGATGACCATTGTCGAACGCCTTAGATCAGGCATCTGTTCCAAAAATTTTACAATTTTTCGTACTGTAGATGAGGTGTACAATGAAGTCGATCAATAAAGTTTATTATGTTCAATGATATATGTCCGATTGATAAATGTGTTAGGGACGATAATGAAATTGATGGTACAATGACATATTCTGCATTTTCCAGAATAACAGTTCATCGACAGTGCGTAGGTTTCGACAGACTCCAGATTGAATCGATGATTTTTGTGACCGCTTCCTCATATTCGAGAAAGCAATCAATTAGATTTAAATCAGTTAAAGAAGATAAACCACTAAATAATTGATCAGATATGTGACGCATATGAAGATGCTGTAATGTGAACGACTTTAAACGAATCCATTGGTTGTGAAGAAAATAATTAGATAGAGCATGACCCATTTGTTGAATATAATCCCAAAGATAAAACGAAGTAATATTCTTACGTAACCATGGAAAATGTTGTTCAAATACGATTTCAAATTCTTGTTTCGACAGTACTGTCAGATCAAAAGTATGAGTTTGAAAATAGAGAAATACCAGGTCAGTAAATCGTCTGTTTTGATGAAGGAAAATACGTAAAATATCGACATCTGGAACGTATTTAAACAGATTCAGTAGTAATTCATTTGGTAAAAATTCAAAAATCATGTTTGGTGTATTTGCCATCTCACCAACGAACTGGTGCAGAAGAGAAATAATCGAAGTACATATTGCAAGCGCAGTTTCCGTGCAAATAGCAACAAGAAAACAAATGAGAGTACAAGCAGAAAACTGGACACCTGTATCACAATTCATTTCATTGTTTCACATAACACTATCTATGGGTAAACCGGTCTGCTATTTTCTATATATTGGATTTTCAATTGTTTGAGGACATAGATTTATTTCTGGGTGCATGGTCTGCATTACAAATACTGATCAGAACAAAAGAGACAGTCAACTGATTATGATACTCATGTAATTTGTGTTTTAAAAAAAGGACGTTTAATTGTCACATTTACCAGCAATTGATTTCCAACTGCCGTTCACTTTACATTTGCAGTGTGCATAAGCAAAACCACGACATGAGCCAGTGACTGCACCAATGTTCTTGCCAATGCAATTCGCTTCACAACGTGCCGAATTCCAGGGACATCCACAGGTGCCAGCTGCGACTACATCTATGGGAGAGCATTATTTATATTTATTCAAACATTCACATACCCAAGTTAATTCCAAGCACGAGCACGATTACGGTGAGAAAAACGAGAGTATGAGACATAACGGTATATTTTCAAACAAATGACATTGAAGTTGTTTTTTTCGCACTGAGTGACTGAGAAATAGATTCTTTATATACTTTGGTACGAATACACTGTTCTACACAGCAAAAAAAGGAATTAGGTTACTTTCGAATATAGCTAAACCTATCAGTTCCTCTTTACATCATCGAGATACGACCTTTTCGTTGATAAGAGAAGATTAGAAAAACTATTGCGCTTAGATGACGTGTATTGCCACGTTGTTTTGCCAGTCATCATTTCCACTTTAGAAAACAGTGAAAAAATATCTGTTTCAATTTATACAGTTAAAAACTTAGGGAATGTCTCTCTCATGTGTGTATCTTATTATTTATACGATTTTTTTCATGAATAAGTGCGTACAATGAGAGTACATGACATTTTTTTCTTACTGAGAAAGTATATGTATTGCATTTATTACTACCTTATATTTTTCTTTCTACTCGTATTTATTTTTGTGAGAAATAGTGAAGATATAAGGTGAAAATTTTGCAAGATATTCATAAGCAAGAATATCAAACGCTTGAAAATACAATAAAGCGTGTATTGTATTATACATAGACAACAAACCAGTTATATGATGTTTATGAAGCGTAAAGTTCACAGCTTGCAAGATAACCGACTGTGTTTTGACCACCACACACAAGAACTTGGCTCGAATGGGTGAGCAGCGTTGCTGTATGATAACAACGACCGATGGATAAGTTGGCAGCTATAGAAGTAGTAAACGTTGATGGATCAAAGATTTCCACTTGGTTCATTTGTGGATAACCGCCAGCAAGTAAAACACGACCATCTTGCAGAAGAGTAGCCGTGTGAGTAGATCGAGCATACCTTAAAGTGCCATTCCGAACAAATTGCATTGTGGTCACATTGAACAGGTCATATGAATTCAAATTTGCTGAAATATAACCACCGGCAAATAGAATGGATCGAATCGACGGAATATAAGTTGCTGTGAAGTAGTATCGTGTGTAGGACATTCGTGGTGTGAGAGTGACAAATGAATTTGTGCTACTATTGTACATTTCTAAAGTATCGAGAATATTACCACCAGTTGCATCACTACCACCAGCGATGACAATGTTTCCATTTGGCAGTGCTGTTGATGTGTGATAGAATCGAGGAGTCGATATGTTTTTCATTGTGAACGTATTCGATGGAACATCGAATATATCAACAGAAGATAGGTAGACTAGTGATCCTGCATAATAATTACCACCTGAAAGTACTGTTTTCACAGTTCCTGATATATTAACTACCGATGACTTTTGCCGTATACGATATCTACTCATGTTTACCGTCATGTTGATCACTTCATTTATAGGATCGTATAGATCAGCAGTAGTACCACCAGCAATTAAGACCAGATTTGTATTGAGACGATCAGCTGAGTGATACGCTCTAATAGCGGTCATACTACCTTTTGTAATAAACGATCTGTTTGATGGTATGAATAATTCTAACGACGATTGATTTTCACCACCTGCAATGAGAACATTACCTGTTTCTGGTATATATGTACTTGTATGGCCAATTCTTGGGACAGACATGTTGTTCGTTTGAATCCATACATTCGACAGAGGTGCTTGAGTAGAAACGTACATGGTCGTTGGTTGACCTGAAAAAGAATTGATCAAACAAAAGCACACTTTCTAGTCTTCTGCCAGGATAATAGAAGCACTTGATGGGTACTTACTGGTTTGTGGTATACTAGTCGATAGCATAGGAAATGATTGTAAGAAATAAACAGAACCTTGAACATTCCATTGTATACTATAATTTGAAGTTAAAACACTGTAAAATGAACACCAGTGTGCATCTTTCTGACAGTTAACGACTGCATATGAGGTCGTATTCGATGAAGTAGCCGTGCAAAGGCATTCATTACAATCGATCGAGAATTGCATCGTGAATGAGACAGCCACGGATGTCGGTTGCGGAACATATATTCCATACTGAATATGACTAATATTGACAGCTAGCACTAAACAGGATTTCAAGAGAACCAGTAATGCGAGAAACATGGTGAGTAGATCGATGAAAGGTGAGAGAAAAAGCGCGCAACCTTCGATATTGAGTACTGATACAAATGACAGGCAAATGTCAAAAAAGTACTCAGATAAAACTGTATAACGCGAGAGAATAACGCTTTTGAAAGTAGTATACTTGTGTGCATTATACACTTTGAACGAGGATGTGAGAAGCAATAGCATTATTTTACCATTTATACTTGAAGAGAAAAACAGTTCCGCTGGATGGCATTCTCAAAAACCTTTGAAGTAAAATCATTTTACTAAAAAAAAGAACAGTTCAAAAGCACTTACAGACTAACAAAAATATATACTGAACAAACGCGCTTTTCTCAGTTCAAAAATACTTTGACGAAGACGAGTGAGAATAAGGTGATGAGCATCTATCACGTTATACAAACCTTCTTGATCATATTGTAGTAAATTTACATTGTGAGGAAAAACCGTATCGTTCACGAAACTTAACAGATGTCATGTTGATTAAAAAAAAAGAATAAAAAACTCAATAATCAAAGCACGGAACGTGATAAAATCTACACTTTTCGAAATATTACAGTCATGGAAGAGGTAAAAGGTGCACATGATAGAACAGACGAAGAAGAGTTGCTCAATCAAAGATTTTGGGAAAAGTTACCGTTTTTAAATTCTTCAATTAAATATTTCTACAGATAATTGATACTCATTCTGTCTAGAATTAATGCTGAAAATACAGATATCTACAAACTCTTCAGTATTCTGTTATGGATTGGATAAGTGAAATTTGAAGAATACTTTTCGTTGCCTAGACAATACGTTTCGTCTCACAGTCGTCTTTATTGGTAGAGTTGCTCTTTCAATCTCTCGTACAGTTGTATCCAAAGAAAAAGTCGAAATAATCAAACTCCTCGCTAAGGCAAATATGTCGAACTAAACAATTGCGCTTGCACATCTAAAAATGATGCTATACGTGGATTTAGTTTACTTACTTCTACTGGATTTCTATTGTATGGATCGTGTTCTGCATTGTTGACATTGTTCATCAGCTGTTATCGTGCGAGTTGTGTTCACTCGCCGACCTGCGTTGAACCTTGTCCAAAAACGTCATTTGCAAAAGTAGGTGCATCATTGAAAAGATAGCATTTTCCAGCATGCTATCCGTTATAACTACGATGATAAATCTATAGTTGGTAGCCTCTATACTCGTGTAGCAATAGGAAGTAGAGCAAATTCATATGAAACAACGTTGTCACAATAACTTCTTATCGTATAGTCTTTTGTCTTGGTACTGTTATTCATACGGGTTTGTTGATTTTAAACAGTTTACAACATCGTCCGTGTGCACGATGGCTAGCTCTAATAGATGACTAGGGTACTGGTTGAGACAACATCACAAATTAAGGAAATCGAAAGGCATGCATTAGTACTAATCAACAGCAGTGAGTATAATCTATTTATCTTTTTGTTGTAAATCCGGGAAATAAACAGACAATGAAAGCCCAATGTGTCTTTCTCAACATTTGTTCAATGGTGAACTGACATGCGTCGAACAAAGGTCTCTTCATTGGCATGATCGATTTCTCGTCTACGATGATATCTGTCATTATCTATGCCGTTTTACATAACAAGATCGGAGATTCGAACCATATGACTTCGTCTCCGTTCAATCTTACGAATCCGGAAAGCATTGACTACAGTATTGTTGTTCTCGAAATTTGAAACATACGTTTATTGGCTCTTTAATTGTACGCAACAATATGCTCGTTGATAAAACTTCGTCGATTGACTTATCGTCGAACCACAGCATGTGAGTATGAAATACGATCTTTCAATATTTAATTCCCGCATTCGATATAAGTTTTGATGATGTTCTCATTATCATTTCATTGAGTGGCATCTACTTGTATTCTACTTTTAGTGCTTTTGTCATTCTAAGTCATTTTCAGACAATAACATTGGTGGCATGCATTAAAATAGCAGTCCTCATTTTGGGTGAGACAAGATACTTTCATAGTCAATAATTGCCGGTGTTGTTTGGTTTCTGCTTTTAGAATTTATTGAGGGTATGATTCATGCGTTATTTATTCTGATTGCTCTACGTAAACGATTAAAACGAAAGAATAAGCATAACTATCCAGCACATGAAATGATTACTTTATTGATAACACTTTACTTGAGAAAACGACAAAACATAAAGCCAATCCATTTCGATTAGCATTCTATCATGTTATACCATGGTCGATCATTAGTCATTGCTACGCCACTTCAAATCTTCTTTTGTTTTCATGCATCAGTCTGCTTCTCTTATGTCTGGACAAATATGTATCATTTACCAATTCGTCAAGTGTTACCTTTACGTGATTGATGATATTTTAATATAAATTATTTTATTAGTCTATTGATCAAATATATAAAACATCTTTAGCGTAGAATAAGGGAGCATTTCAAAATTTTTGCCGGTCGGCCGGCCGCTCAGCCGCTCTGCCGTTCAGCCGTTCTGCCGCAAAGCCGGCCGGTCGCTCTGCCGCGGTANTTCAGAAAAAAAAGTCCAAGCTTACTCGTCTTGCGCAGTAGACACTATAAAATTATTTCTTGTTTTTCATACGACTCACGACAAAGTCATTCAATCTGTTCAGCAGATTAAGCGAATGATTGTACATATCATTTGCGCGAGCTTTGTCTTGCCTTTCAGCATACCGTGCTCCCATAACTCTAGTTTTCAGAATAATGTCATTAATTATATTGATGGTCAGCTGATCGGGATCATCCGACATAAATGATATACGAGAATATTTGGTGAAAAACTCTTGTCTCGTCTTTGGATCATTGGCTTGCCCTTCTAGAACATAGATCGTATGCTTGGAATTCAATGAGCATACGTGCTCTAATATTGAGTCATCTCCTTCAGAGGTTATGAAAACGATTCCAGATATTTGTGCCTCGCCTAACTGTTTAGAATAGTCCTGCTGAGT